GGCAGTTTGGCTTTGTTGGCGCTCAAAGAGTTTTTGGGACTTGGCTGTTCTTTGTTGGAGGGGAAATTCTAGCCAGCTTATGCTGTTTGATTGCAATTTAATCACTTCAAATATCACTTTTTTCTTTTCACTGGGTACATTCAGTGTACATCACTGCATCCTCAGGAACATGGTTATCACAGCAATAGTCTGTCAGTCCCCTCAACATGTTGTCAGCAAAATCTAGAAACCCCTTTTCAATTCTACAACTACTTTGGTTTATGTGACTTCAATCAGAGCAAAGCAGGACAAGAGGACATCATATACATCAACATAACAAATATATTATTCATTTTTCTGTGGTCAGTGACATTGTTACAGTCTACAGAAGTTCAAGCAAAAAAGTCCTTTGAAAGAGACATTTTGACTCTGTTTTAGAACCGAATCAAGTTATTAACTGCACCATAAATCAAACCGAATCAAAATCTGTACAGAATTGAGCTGCTGGTATTGTAGAAAAATGGCCTTTCACCTGAGCAGAGAATTGTTTTCTAATGGTTTTTAAAAGGAAATATTATTTCATCAACTCCTGGTGGGTAACTTCTTGTTTGGTCCCAGCTGAGCGTGGTTTGTGAGCTGGGACTCCCTTCAGACCCCTCTTCTCTTCAGTGAGTTGCTCCTCACTGCCAGGGCCAAGATTTCATTGTGTGACACCTCCTCTGTTAATCACACCCATGTGTCAGAATATTTCCTACAGACAGGGTCCTGTTGAGTCAAATTTTTCTCTTTTGCACTGAAAGATTTGCTGTTGCTGTAAATTTAGGTAAGAGAAAGCTAAATATGTTTGGAGATTTAAATAGAGGTTCCATGCGAGAGAAACCCAGGATTTTTAGCCTGAGATTATTTCTGTTCACTCCTTTCTGTTTCCCAGGATTCTTCAGCTCTCTGAAATACCTTCTTTAAGAAATGTCCCTAAACACCATTGTTTTGTTGATGCCATTCTAGGTAGGCTTTTATTAGAAATCCCGTGGAGTGTGCTGCTTTCCCTACGGGTTTGTGTAAAAATGAGTGTTACTGGGCCTGGGCCATGAGGGAGCAGCTGGTGAACTTTTAGATGCCTCACTTCTACAAGTGCACTTCAGAGTGCCTGTAATAGCGAGTGTGTGACAGTGGGTGGAAGTGAAGTAATTAAAAGCAGCAGAATTTGGAAGTGTATTTGAAATTCTTAAGCAGGTACAAAAATGTCACCAGCGATTTTAGGAGCACTGTTTGTTGTGAGAGTCTCAGCCCTCAGCTGGGAGAAACACAGCAACACTGCACAAAGAATGGGGAAACAAAGGGAAAAAACCCCTAACACTTTAGAAGGTGGTAGATGTTAAAATAAAAAAAGATGATGTATTTTCATTTTCCTAGTTCCGCGTGAATGCGAGATTGCCCTCTTAATTTATTTTAAAAGTTCTCAAAATCCTCTCTTTCCTAGGATGGATGTATAAATGATATCAGGGAATACCTGTCAAATATTTTCCCATACATTAAATATGATGCCATGACATTCCATTCAGCAAATTTCTTTGCTGTTGCCCTTCCTCCAGTGGTATTTGCATGTGTGCTCCCCCTCCACACACATCATTAATTACCATTACAAACCTGCCTCTTTTTTCTCTCACCTCTCACTGATTTGGGTGGCTAAAGCCATCTAAAAGCCATCCAAACTTTGGAGCAGAGCTTAACCCACAGTGATAGAAGTATGCTGGTTTTTCAATGTTATGGAGTGAGTGACATTCAAAGTCCATTAGTGGGAATCCATTTCTCAGATATGGTTGAAAATGGGAAGGCTTTGGGCAGTAGTTTGGAGCAGGAGGGGAAATTTAGTTCCACTGCTCCACTGATTTGTAGCAGAAGAAATCAGGAATCCATTATTGTATCAGTATTTTCAGGCTCCAAAAAGTATGGTTTTTTATAAAAAGCTGTAAGTTTATCATTAACTTTATCATGCCGAGGTGCTGGGAGGCTCAGTGGAATCCAGCAGTGCCAGCCAAGTCAGTTCTCACTCATGGTCCATGCCATGATTCCTTTGGTTGTGCCAAAATTCCCTGGTCACCTTGTCACTCAGCCTGGGTCCAGCAGCCCTGGCACCACGGCTTTCCTCAGGGATTCTCTGCTGGGAGTATTTCCCTACAGATGTTCCTATGATTACACAAAAGCTACTAACAATAAAATAACAATAAAAAAGCTCATTTGTCTGCAGGGTTGCAGAACTGGGTATTAAACTGCAGTATTGTAAAGTAAATATCATTTTAGTCCAGAACTGCTCTCTACAAATTTTTTTAATGCACAAATTTCTGTTTAATGCAGTGGTGGATTCATTGTCAAATACAGAGATACAACGTGTCTTTAGTTACATTTCTTTGTCAGATCCCATATTTTTTTCTCTCTTCCATAGTCCTTAAACCTTTCTCCATTTTGGTATAACTGTTGCATTTGTCCAATTAAATTTTATTTTCTCTAGTGGACCAGATCTAATACTACTATTTTCAGAGCTCCTTAGCAGTATTCTACAGTTCCATGCTTTTATTAATTAACTTTTTTATGGTCTTTTAGGTAATTTTCAGTTCTGGGGACAGTATTTCTATTTGAATGCATTTGATGAAAATTTCTGAGGAAGTATTTACAGAGCATTATGGGCCAGTTATTTAGGTTATGATAATTGGATGGATTATAAATTTAGACCAGGCCTAGTGCTTCACTTACTGTGTTACTGAAACCCAAATATATAATAAAATTATCACCTTCTCAGCAGTTGCTTATATTTTTAATCCTGTCAAGAAAATAAACTGCTTAGTTCTTGAACAGGACACCTTATATTGCAAAATAAACATAAAATGGTTAAAAACTTCATTAAACTTCTAAGAGCTTATTTTAATGCCTTTCACTGGTCGTAGGAAATTTCAAAAGGCATTTGGTGCCCGTTGCTTACATTGGGAAAATCAAAGAGCTGGGAATTTATCACTGTAATTACACAAAGTATCTTGAACAGAAGTCTCTTGTTCATATAAACAGGAGTTATTAGTTGAAAAAGTTAACTTCTCTGAACCTCTGAGGACTCACTGTGATATTCTTTAAGGTAAATACTCTGTAAATATTACAGTAAAACCAAGTTTTAAAGCCATTCAGTTGTTTTTAGAACCTCCTACACTTGTGCCTTTTTACATAAATACATTTTGTGTTACTGACTCTGTGCAGATTCTGAGTCCTTTCTGTTTGGTACCTCAGGGACTTGGGAATCTCTAAAGCTGCAGGGCCCAAACCCACAATTTGTTCTTGTGAGACAGAAAACCACAGATAACAACAAACCTGGACCTGCCTCTTTTATTTATTATTTTCCAGTTAGGAAAACTTATAAGTAAGGAAAAAGTGAGGGCAAAGCAGTGCTCCAAAATACACCTGGTACAGCTTCAAACTCTTGAATTCCCATGGCTGGAAATGTGAAACCTGCTTCTTGTGTCTGAGAAGGTACTTGAGGTAGTTCTGTCAGTCTGCAGTGGAAACACTGCCTGTTTAGGGAATGTTTAGGGAATTCAGGGGAATATTAACTCCCAGCTCTGTTAATGGTGTTAAGTAAAACCAGCAGATGGGTCCGTTTAGTCTGAAACAGAATTTGGATCCTTGAGATGTGCTGAGTTAAAACAGCAGCAACAGCATTGGAGAACAAACATCAGAAGCAGCAGAAGACCCAGGAGAGAAAATGCCCTCATGGAATTTATAATGATGAAACATTTCACATATGTATTTTAAAAAATGGATTTTCAAAATGAATTTTAAAAGTAGAAAGTCTAAGCTACTGAAATAAAAACAAGCTGTGCCGTTTCATGACACTGCCTTGGAAGTTTTATAAGGTCTTGTAAAAAAATAAGAAAGAATTTCTATAGTGCCCTGAACATTTTTGGTAGAAAAAACTCAATTACTAGAGTGGCACTGAGCCAACTTCAGTCAGTGCAAAAGCTGCTGGAAGGAGCACTGGCACATTTCATGTTAAAATCACCTGCACAAATGGGGTTACCAAAAACATGGGATGAAGGGATTCAGGTAGACTTCTCTAGGCTTTCATTTTTCTTTTTCCTTTTTTTTTTTTTTTAAATATATAAATAAGTTCTTTGTTATTTTAATTAAATTAGCATAAATAGCAAAGGCCAATGGTTGAACACAACTATTAAACTTCACCTGAAGATTATGATAAAGCACAAGGGCTGGTGAGGAGTGAGAGGGATTTTGTATCAGCTTAATTTTGAAATGATTGTTTGCAGTGCACACCTTTTCTTTTTCTCTTAACATAGATAAAAATAACCAGAGCACTGTTTAACCACATCAAGTAGGGCTGCTCTGAGTAAATAATTCATTTGCTATTTGGCAAACATAATTTACTGACTGTCTAACAAAGCTGGAAGTTTGCATTTCTTTACCCAAAATGAGACACACTTTCTTCATTTTGTAGGAATTCTGTGTTTGCACTTTTTATTCACTGGTGAGAAAAGGCATCAAACCCGAAAATGTTCTAAACCTCCCTAAAACACTCTGTCAGTTTGTCCCACCTGTGGCTGTGGGTGACAAACTGCAGGGACGAGGCATCAACATATTCCTGCTTTCAGTTCCTTGGATTTTTGCTGTAGTTGCCAGCAGGGCTATGGAATTGCCAGTCCTGGAGCTGCTGGATTTTGTGGTGTGAATGATCCCGGGCAGCAGCCTGGACTGAGGCCAAAGGAGCCTTTTCATGTTTGTAGCCACGAGCCTTCCGAGGGCAAGAGCCTGGGATTGCTCTGGGCCTGGATGGGGTTTAAACAGGCAACCTCCATGTGGAGAACTCCTTGATTAATTCCTGCCCATCCAGCTCCTGGCCAGTAATGTAGTTTCCTAAAATGCATTTCTTGATTTTCAAGTGAGCTTCAATAAAGGGTCTAGAAATAGTCCACGCTGTGATGCAGGGGCAGGACTATTACAGGCTTATCATTTATTCTTCCACACAGGTGAGTTCCCAGCATATTGAAAACTTTCAAAGGATGAAATGGATTGGTTTGGCAGATCTGGAGAGCCTGAATTAATCCCCTGGTTAGAGCATTTGAGCACTGCTGATGTGGAACAGCACAGCCAGCAATGTAAAGGTATGTCTGGTCAGCCTGAACACAGCTCTTGATTTCATACTTTTTCAGGCCCTGCAGTGTCAATTAGTGGTAATTTAGACAGGGATGGAATGATGGATTTGATGCCATCTAATGCATTTTAAGGAATTAGTATTAAAAGCAAGTGTTTGGTGTTCTGTGATAATGACCAAGATGGTCTTTCTAAATATGACTTAGTTTAAGAACTAGGAGTGATAAATGTATGTACCATCAGTTTCAACTATTTAATATCCCTCAGTGTATTACTGAATGATACTAAATAGTTAAATAAATGAATGTCCATTTGCACATGTGCCTTTGGGAAGGTCAGTCAAATTTAGGACCCATCAGTTTCTGATTGAATAAAATGATTCCTTAGAGCTACAAACTGCTCTTCCCTCAGGTGGTGCTCAAACTGATACCTCCTATACTCATTACTGCCCATGGGGAACAGGACCCAGGCATGTTCCCTTCTCTCCAGGACACACATCCTGACACAGGCATTTATGGACACCCCTTTTCTTCTGCTGTGGGGATGGTACACCAGGGCACCATGGCTCACTACTCTGGGATCACAGGGAATGAAAGGAAAAGCTGCTCAGCCCTTCCAGTGATCCATGTGTGTACTGGGAGAGTACAGTCTACAAGTCTGAGTCTGACCTTAAGTGTATAATGTTTGGAAGAAGGGAATTTTTTAATATCTTTTATATGTTGTAAGACTTTATGCAATTCAGCTGAGGACTGAGCCCCCAGTTGGTTAAGATTCCATCCATAAGGACTCCTACAGCAATTCAGAGAAAAAGTAATTAGGGATCAAGGCAGAATTTAGAACGACTGTCTCAGGATATGGCCTGGAATTCTCTGTATGCAACAACTGGAGCACTATTTCAATTAGTGAAATGGAAAAGACCAGATTTCTCCTAAGGATAGGAAATATCAGTAATTTCAACATGTGAAAAGCTGCTTCACACAACTCCACACTGGAGATACTGGTTCTGCCATTCTTTACTTCTCATTTTCGTTTTCAGACACATGAATTAAAATTTAATTTCCATTGCATTCTTTGTAATAGGAATCCCAAGTGTGACAAACTTAAATATGTCTGAACTCGGCATTTGTTTTTCTAAGATCATCAATTAGGGAAAAAAGTACCTAAAATTGGGTTCAAGTGCAGTGTTTCCAAGATAACCCACACTTTAGGGTGGCTTTCTTTGGCTTTTAGGGCTGCACACTTACCTCTGGGGTCAGTGCATTGTTCTCTGAAGTCTGACTTGACAGCAAAATATGTGTGAAACCCTCTTCTTTTCGGACCACAATGTCCCTGAACCGGCAGTTACTTTCGTTTTGTCTCACGCTGTATCTCAGTCTCTTATCGAAGACATAATCCTTCTCCCCATCTAGTTTCCTTTTCACAGTGCTGTGCAGATTCAAGCTTCCATTGGCCAGAGAAGAACCTTTCAGATGGAAAGAATCAAAGCATAATTACCTCTGTACCATCAAAGAACTGGAGTGCTACTCCACTAGCTTCAACAAAAAGAAATGAACATAAAATAGTAATATAAATATAAAATAAATAAAAATGTGTCTGGCTAGTCAAATGTGGCCTCAAGCCATTCCTCTTATTCTGCATTCCAACCTGCAGAACTTTTTGTTGTCTGATCAGAACACCTCTGGATCCAATGAACTGCAGCATCCAGGACTGGTACTTTGTAGTGGGTTCAGATCTGCTTTGAACATAAAAGCAACCGTATCACAGTCTTTCATATGAACTTGGGGTGATCCCTGAATTTATAGGAAGATTCTATTTCAGCTTTGGAAACTTGACATGAGAGGTTTAGTCCAAATCCCATCTTCCAAAGGTAGATTTTCTTCCCTTGCTGCTGACCAGTCATTAGCAGTCTCAAATGACCCCCTGAGCACACCCTTGTTGCACATCTCTGTGTGACACTAAATTTGGGGAGCTCTTCCCAAGCTGACACAACCAACATTCTCTTCCAGTTATCCCTGTGGCTGGCACTGCAAGTAGCACTTAGCCACCTCTTTTTGCTCTGAATCCAAGCCTCTGCTCCTTACATTTTATAGTAACAATAATTAATGACTTCTGCCTAACGAGTACGATATTAATAGTGGACTTTGTACACAGCAAATGCACATGCTGATGCCATCAGTATCCAGCAGCAGGAAAAAAGAGAACAGTGAGAAGAAAGATATAATTCCTCCTTTAAAACAAGTGAGAGTAACAGTAAGTCAATATTAAAAGAGAGTTTATTCTGACTTAGGGAACTGCAAACCATTCCTGTGCTGATGTTTGCAGTCCCTCTGTAACAGGCAATAGAGGACAACTGGTCACAGTGCTGGGACAGGGTGTTGAAAGAGCTTTACAGGATTTGTATGCAATAATCCTTTTCTAATTACAGATGTTTCACACTATTGCCATTAAAAATAAAGCAGAGACAGGTTGGTGAGGGACAGAGATTAAAGTCACTGTTTTTTGTTTAAATAGACACCAGCCCACAATACTCCATTTTTAAGAAAGGCCAAGAGAGAGCTGAATGAAAACACCTTTGTTCTGTTCTTTACTCCTGCCAAAAGGTGACCTGTTCCAGCTTCTGGTTTCAAACAGCCAAGAACTTTTAAAGGGCAGATGACATGAATATTAGAACAGATTTAGATTTTATAGTTTAAATGCCTGCCATCCAGTTAAAAATGCTCTGTTGGAACAGAACTGAGCAGTGAATTGGTGACAGATGACTCTAAACCAAAATCACTTCCCCTCATTTTGGCTTAGCCATGTTTGAGGTTGATGCTCATGCAGGTGACTGATCTGTGTGACTTTTGGCCAAAAGTCTGTTAGTTCAGCCAACCATAAAACTCTTTTTTTGTTGTTAAATTAAGAGACACTTTCTAAAGCTTTTCCTCTATTATACTGAACAGGGCATTTACCTGGTGCAATGCAAACATTGCCAAATTACTTTAGATCATCACTTTAAAAAATCATTTGGAACCAGAAGAGTCTGAAATTTGTTTTCTTGACAAAAAGTATCTACAAGTGTAGAAATCACCATGTGCTTGAGCTTTAAAAATTATGAATAACTTCCTATGTTATGAATAACTGTTTCTTCTTTTTCATAAGGTTTTGCTACTGCATCTATTTTGACATTATATACAAAGGTGTATACAATATATATATACATGATCGTGTATTCTTACAAACAAAAATCAACTTGTAGAATTACTAATGGAGTACCAGTGTCATTGGGAATAATATACTGAAACTAATTAATTCTTTGACTGAGGCAGGCTATTAAATACTGCATTTTTATCTATTCAATCCTTACCATGTTGCTTGACCCTGAAACTGGCTACTAAGATGTGATGAGCTAAATCTTCCCAAAAAGTGTAAATAACTTATAAAATTAGAGGCACAAATGCCCATTGAATGGAAGGTGTGTCAGACTAACTATACTGATTATCTCCCTAGTGTGGAAGATTATGTCACATCTATTTTAAATACAGATGGTAAGAGAATAGTAGAAGATTAATTCACACACATAATCCAGCTCAACAAAAAGCCTCACAGTAATTATTTTAATATTTTGTTTTATTCTTCTTTATGTATTCTGTTTGTAAATGAATATGTGATGTAAACTATTGATCTTATCATGGTATTTTAACTATCTGCACACCAGCTAAAACAAATCTAACCAGAGAAAAGATCTGAATTAAATATGAGAGAAACATAAATGGAAAAGTGTCATTTCCTAGAGTGGATGATTAACAGAACAATATATAGTGAGCAAATTGTTGTTTCTGTGTCTACAGTGCAACCCGGTAATCTTGTTTAATCTGATAAACTGGGGACAATGATCAGCACAATCTAAAGACAACCAAGGAAGCTTTGGGTACTCAAAGCATGGTTTACTGGCTTAGTAGTGAGTATTTGATGCTCAGTCTAAGTATAAAAAGAAAACTCTTCCTTTAGTCAGAGTTTAATCTAATTATTACCTTGTAATCAGCAGTAGAACTTGTGGAATACCCAAACCAACACTGATATTTATAAGAAGTTTCAATATTCTTTTAAGGGAACCTAAGATATTCCCAGACCACTGGTGGGTGCAGTAATCCTTCTCCAAGAATGGCAGTAAAGGATGCTATTTAAGGAGAAAATGCAAGCTTGGGCACTTTCTGCAGTCCATTCCCATAGCATCATCCTTTAAGTGATGTACAGGGACATGAGAGGCTTCATCCTTCCTGGTTCTTCAGTATTTGCTTGTGGACCTTTTCATGTGTTTCTCTAATCCCCTTTGAGCTCTCTGGCTCCACAGCTTCCTGTGGTATGAGTTTGAGAAGTTGTGTAGCCACTACACAGAGAAGAATTTGCTTTCATCTCTGCTTTTATCTGATGTTCCACCAGCTCCAGCGAGTGGTCCCTCGCTCTGCTATCGAGGGATTTCATGAGCAGCAGTTCTGCATTTACTGGATCTGAGGCCCTGATGGTTTGTAAACTTTGATCAAGCTCCCACTCCACTGCCCCTCTCCTGACTGAAAGCTCTTTTATTCCTGCAATCCTCTTCATTTTAGCTGCCCCATCCCTGCATCTTCCACAGCGCTCCACCACTGCCAAAAGCTCTGAGCCTGGGGCTCCATTACACCAGGCAATGCTGCAAACACATCAGAAATTTACAGTCTGAAAAGTCTACAAAGAGTGGGAGAGGAAAGAGAGAAAAGGTCACATTGATCCTCGGTGCTTCAGGGGACCTGGGACTCCACCCCCCCTTCACTGCTCCTGCCCACGAGGAGAGGACACCTCAAGCTGCTGTGTCCTCTCTGTTTTCCTCTAATATTTTCAGAGACTTGTTTTCTGAGTGTTCCATCCCAGCCAGTTTGAGGTGCAGTCTCTGTGCCACCACCCCACACAGCAGCCACCCTGGTGATCTGCCCTGGCTGAAAACTCACCCTGCAAAACTGTGGTTAATTTTCAACCAGATCAGGTTCACCTTGGA